CTTTCCCTTTCCTTTCCCTTTCCTTTCCCTTTCCTTTCCCTTTCCTTTCCCTTTCCTTTCCCTTTCCTTTCCCTTTCCTTTCCCTTTCCTTTCCCCCCCACAACTTCCTAGAGAACTTTAGCCTTGATTTTTTTAGGAACATCCCCAAGCTTTTAAAAAACTTTGGATTTAATAGGAAAGAAACCAGAATTGGGAATTTTGGGGAAGCTCGTGGTAGGATTGGAATATCCCAATATTCCAATGGTCAGGAGTGGGATCAGCCAGGGCTCCTTGGGAATATTTTTGCCAAGTGTTTCCTTATCTTTGAATCCTGTGGATAAAATCCCAGCAGGAATGAGGGGAATGCAGGCTCTGGAGCATGAGGAGAGGAAAGGAATGGGAAAGGACTTGGAATTCCAGGGATTCAAGGGCAGCTAAACATTACCCAGCTCAGAGCTCCAGCAGACAATTCCAGAGGGCTCTTCCCAGTTTTTATTGAATTTAAGGAGCAGGGAATTCCTGGGAATATCCCAAAGTTTTAATGGATTTTAAAACAGGGAATTAAAACAGAATTAAATGGGGATTTTAGGGATGATTATTGTTGGTTTTCTCTTGATAAAACAGGAATATTTTCCTTGCCCTTGGAGCTGGAGCTGAACCTGAAATTCCAGCCCCTGGCTCCTTTCCCTGTTTGCTGGGAATGTAATTTTTAACCTGGATTGTGGAACAGAGTTTGGGAGAAGAGGGATCCAGGGAATGAGTCAGCAATTTGGGAAACATTCCTGGAGAATATTGAGATCCCTGGGAGAGAACCTTGGAGAAGGGATGGGACACAGGGAATGGATGGGATGTTGGGAAGGGATTCCTGGCTGGGATGGAATTCCCAGGGAATTCCATGGCTGCCTCATCCCTGAAAATGTCCAAGGCCAGCTTGGAACAACCTGGGATAATGGGAATTCCCTGCCCATGGAATGGGATCATCATTAGGATCCTTTCCCATCCAAGCCTTTTGTGCCTTTAGGAAAAGGCACCAAAAAAAAAAAAAGGAAAATTTGAGGAAATTTTTAGGAAATTTAGGAAAAATTGAGAATTCAGCTCTGGGAATGGAGAGGGCTAAAATCTCCTTATTCCCAATCATTTTCCATAGGAATAAAAGTCAGGATAAGTGGAGCTGAGCAGTGTTTGCTGTGTCCATCCCTGCTGCCATTCCTGGAAAATCCAGAGCTGCTCCTGCTTTTTTTTGGGGGGAGTTGCTTTCCTTCCAAAATTCCAGAATTCCATGGCTGCTCATTCCCAGCTCCTCCTGGGCACCATTCCACCCATCCATCCATCCATCCATCCATCCCTGCTCCTGCCTGGATAATGAATGGAAATGGGAATTCCATCAATTTTTTTCAGGATCTGGTGCTGCCCACGGAGCCTCTTTCCCTATTCCAAAGAAACTGGATTTTGTTCCAACATTTTCCTGGAGCTGGAATTCCTTTGTTGTTCTGTGGGATTCCACGTTTTCCATCCCAAATGAGAAATTAGGGAAGGAAAGAATCCTGCTCTGTGAATTCCCAAATTTTGATCATCACTCATTCCCAATTCCTTTCTTACCCCTTCTCTTCCTATAATTCCCAAAAACATCCCAATCTCAGAGGATTTTGGGGCTGTTTGCTCTCCTGGTTTTCCAGAAAAGCCAAAATCTAATAGATTATCCCATTTTTTTTTTTTTTTTCAGAACAAGGAGAGTGGAGAACCTGAATCCAAAATTCCTAGAGAAGATGAGGAAGAGGAGCCAGTCAAGCACAGGTAATTCCTTCTTTATTCCCACTTTTCCCTCTGGAATGTGTTTCCCAGGAGGAGTTTCCCTTGGCTTTTTGTGATTAAATAGGAATTTTCTGTAGGAATTTGGGTGCAAATAATTTGGGATGAGGGATGGGTGGATTCATCTTGGAGCAAAAATTCCATGGATCAAGAGGGAAAACCTGAGGTTGAGGGAGCATTTCCCTGAATTCTCAGCCATTCCTGCATGGATTAAGCAGGGATTTATATTTTTCCATGGATTCTTGTGGTTTTTTTTTCCCTGGAAAACAGGAGCACAATCCCAGCTGAGGCAGATCCAGCTGATTCCAAAGGTGTTTTCCTGCTGGGAAAATCCCAACAGGGCTTTTTTTTGGGATCACAAATTTAGGTGGCAAACGTGGAATGTGTCCTATTCCCATGGATTTATCCCTAAAAACTTCCTCTGTGGGAGGAATGAACCAGGAAAATAAATTGATAAATCTTCCTTTTGGTTTTATTTATTTATTTTTTTTTTTGGGGGGGTGGGGAATGACTCCTTGGAAAAAGCATATCCTGGTGGAGAAAATCCCAAACGGGATTTAGGGGCTGAAAACACCGAATTTCCTGGGAGAGGGAACTTTCTGTGCTTGGAATTTGTGGCAGAAAAGGCTCTGGAGGTGAAACCAGAGCTTGGGATCTCTCCTGAATAATGAATGGATCAGGAGCTCTCACATTCCAGCACTGCCACTGGATCTGGAGCTGATGGAATCCGGGTTGGTTTTCCCACCCCTGCAGATCTGGGCCTGGCTGGAATAAGGAATTAATCCTCCAAATCCCAAAAAAAAAAAAAAAAAAATCCTGCTTTGGGCTGATTTTTATCCTGGGATTGCCTGGAGGGATCTGAGGGCTCTGTTTCATTCCCAGTTTTCAGCAGCACCAGGAAATGAATTTTTCCATGGATTTTCCTTCATCCAGTGGCAGATCCAGAAAAAAAATCCTTCCTCTGTCTCAGGATGATTTCTTGGAAAATCCAAGGAAGTTGGAGGTGGAGAGGGAAATTCCATCCCAGATTTCTCCTCAAATTCATGGAATTCTTTGGGATTCCCCACTTTTGGGGTGGGGGGGAAACTTTGCTTCCTGATGGATTTTTTTTGTTTTTCCACCTTTCTACCATCTCAGCCCTGTTTTGTTGGGATCCAGATGGAATTTCCCCTTGAATCCCAAATTTTGCTTGGATAATTCCCAACTTTTGATTTCCTTTTGCTTTTCTTGTGGAATGTCCACTTTTCCCATGGGAATTGGATCTGGAGGAACCCATCCCTTGATTTCCTCTTGAATTTGGATTTCCCTATGGAAAAGGGAATTGCTGGGCACTGCTGGCCTGGGGAGAAGGGGAAAAAAAACAGGAATTTCACCTGGATTTGGGAAATGAGGAGTCCTGGTGGCTGGAATCTCCCTCCCAAAGCACTTCCAGGAGCTGGGTTGGGTTTTCCAAGTGGAAAAAAATTCTCTGGGATAGGGAATGTGGTGGTTCAGGGAATAATCCTGTGGTTTGTGGAGCAAAATCCTGGGATTTTCTCTCCTGGTTGCTTCACTTCAGCTCCATCCCAGCCCATGCAGGTGTGGAATTCCAGGATGGATTGGTTTGGAAGCTTCTTGGATCTCTGTGATTCCAAGGATTCTCCATGGGTTCTTTATTCCCAGCTAATTCCAGGCTCATTCCCTCAGGAGTGGCTGGAGAGGGAAAACTCTGGGAAGAAGGAGCTGGAGGTCCCTTCCATGGAGTCATCCTGGGAGTTATCCAAGGATTCTTTCCCTGCTTTTCCCTCTGCTTAGGGAAGGATTTGGGGAATTCCCTCTGAACCACTTGGGATATGGGGAAATCCCATCAAATTCCATCCCTGGAAGTGCCCAAGGCTGGGTTGGACAAGGCTTGGAGCAGCCTGGGAATACTGGAAGTGTCCCTGCCCATGGAATGGGATCATCTCTTCCAAGCAATCCATTCTGGAATTCTGGGATTCTCCAACTCCTTTCTCTGTGTTTTTTCCCTCTGCTCATTTTCCCAGGAAAGATTCCCTGGGGGAAGGCATTCCATAGAATCCTGGGGTGAACCTTCAGGATGATCCCATTCCATGGGCAGGGACAGTTCCCACTATCCCAGGCTGCCCCATCCACCCTGGCTTTGGACACTTCCAGGGATGGAGATTCCCAATTTTTCTGTTCCAGTGGCTGCAGGAAGGACAAGATCCCCTCAATTCTGGTTTTCCCAATATTTTTTCCAGCCTGTGCTCCCATTTTTTGGCCACTTCCTGCTCCACTCCGACCTCCCCATCCCTTTTTTTCCTTCCTCATTTTCCTGCAAATTCCCAGCCCTGCAAGTCCTGCTCTATTCCCAGCTCTGATCCCTGATCCAAACTCTGGGAATTCTCTCTGGAGCTGTGCAAAACTTGGATCGTTGGGATTTTTGTGTGGACCAGGAAGCGGAGCTGCTGCTCCACCTTTCCCAGGAAAAGGGTGTGGGAGGATTTCGGCTTTTCCGTCTCATTCCCGAGGGGTGAAACGTTGGATTTGGGAATCAGGGACCTGCTGGAGCCTGGAATTCCCATCCCATCCTTGTCCCAACAAAACTCCTCAGAGATGGGAAAAGTGGAGCTAAAGATCCAAGGAAAAACTTGGCGTGGAGTGGGACAAAAATAATCCTCAATTTTCCAGCTTTAGGGAAAAACAAATCCACTTTTCCTAAAAAACGAGCCCTGCCCTTGGACACGGAGTTATCCTTGGAAGTTGCAGCTCTGCTTTGGGGGAGGAGCGGGGGTTGGGAAACCCGATCTCCCTGAGGAATTCCTCCCTCTGGAATGTCACCGGGCAGGTCCGGAGCGCTTTTGTTTGTTAATCCCTGCCTCCAAATCCCTCGGGATTCTGCTCCAGAGGGGGTTGGGCTCGCCAGGAGAATCCAGGACGTGATTCCCTTCATCCCGGAGCGTGGAAATCTTCGGGAAGGGGTTTGGGATGAGGAAAGGAATGGAAAAAAAATCAGGACTAAGTGTAGGAGGTGGGAGCTGAGTTTGGGACACGGGGAGGGTTTGGTTGGAGCTTCCCGGGATCTGGACACGGACATGGAACATCCCAGGGATCCCTTCCCATCGGGAATGTGCTCAGGAAAAGGAGGAGGGCTGGGAATGGGAATGGGCAAAACTGGGAATTGCCACATTTTGCTCCAAGCTGGAAAACGGGGATTAAATCCACCTGGAAGCTGAGAGCACCAGGATCCAGGCTGGGAAAATTCCTGAGCTGGTTCCATCCTGGAGGTTCTGATCCATCATTTTGTGCCTTCCTCCCTCTGGAGCTGGAGGATGCTGTGGATTCTCCCTCAGGATGGAGCTGATCCATGGAGCTTCCCGTGATCCCAGTCCTGGCTGGATCCTCCTGGAGAGGCTCTGGATGATCCTGGGTTTTCCCTGGGATCAGGATGAGCTTCCAGAGGTCACACCCTGCTCCTTCCAGCCCTTGGCTCCACATTCCTTGGCTCTCCCCAGCTGCTTTTTTTTCCAGGAATCATTCCTGGGAATTCATCCACCCCGTGGTGTGTTGGGCATGGATTTTTGGGTGCTCAGACTTCCTGGGGGAGAATTTCTGGAAATGGGAGCAAGTCTGGAGCATCTTTCTGCTCCCAATCCTTGTGCTGGCTCCGTGCTGGGATCATGGATCTGATCCCAGCAATTCCAGCAGTTATCCTGGATCTAGGTGCTCCCAAGGTGCCTCCAGGGCTCCTTTTGGTTGAACCTCAAGGGTGGAAGTTGGGTTTGGATCCATCCCAACCTGGAGGATGAGGTTTGTCCTTGTTCCAACGTTGGTATTCCCGGCATGGCTGGGGTGGGAATGGTTTGGAATATCATCCAGCTCCAGCAGAGTCCCACGCTCCACATGGGATGTGACCTTTGTCCCGGTTTTGTTCATGGATGTTGAAACTCCACCTGGAAAGGCTCAGGTGCTTGGGAAAACCCTGTGGGAACAGGATGGGAATCCTGATGGATTTGGGATCTTCTCCAGCTCTGCTGGAGCACCTGGATGTCTCCCAGTCCTTGCTCCAGCAGGGAGCACATCCTGGAAAACCAACCGGCCTGGCAAGTTTGGTGTGGAGAGAGGTGGGATTTTTTTTGGGATTCCTTCCTTCTGGAGCCACTCTGGGAGCAGGATGGGCTTGGACACGCTCAGGATTGGGCAGGGGCAGCTTTTCCAGGGAAGAGCTTTTCCTCACGGTGGGTTCTCCTGGATCTCTGCCTGTTCCTCCTTTGGTGCCTTGGGTGAGGAATCCGGGAATGTCGGCAGCACCTCCTGGAGCAAATCCAGAGGATCCCATGGAGCTGCTCCAGGGCTGGAGCCAGGCTGGGAGAGCTGGGAATGTTCCCCTGGAGAGGAGAAGGCTCCAGGGAGAGCTCAGAGCCCCTGGCAGGGCCTGAAGGGGACAAGGCCTGGAGGGACAGCACACAGGGAATGGCTTTGAGCTGGAAGAAGTGGATTTAGATGGGATATTGGGAAGGAATTCCTGGCTGGGATGGAATTCCCAGATTTGCTGTGGCTGCCCCTGGATCCCTGGCAGTGTCCAAGGCTGGGTTGGAGCAGCCTGGGACAGTGGGAGGTGTCCCTGCCATGGCAGGGGTGGGATGGGATCATCCTTCACATCCCTCCCAGCCCAGCCCATTCCAGGATGATTCCATGATCTCTGGACATTTTTCCTGCTGTTCCTGGAGGTGAAAGCCTCATCCTCAGGGAGCAGAATTGGGAATTGCTCCTTAAGCAGCTCCAAGTGACTTTTGGGAATAAGGACAGGAACAAGGAGCCTGTTAACACCGGAGGAAATCCCTGTTCCAGCTTTTCATGGCAAAGCCATTCCCGGTGCTTCTTGCACAGCTGGAAGGCTTGGAAAAATTCCATGGGCTTGTTTGTTCCATAAAACCCTTGGGGCTGGAACAGTGAAGCACAAGCCAGACTCGGAGCCAGCTCCGAGGGGCCTGGTTTCCATCGGGAACACTCCGGGCATTCCTCACATTCCCGGCGTGCCGGTGCCAAGGGCCACCTCCCAAAAAAAGCTGGGATCCCTCCTGCTTCCCCAGCCAGGAGCTCCAGGCCTGAGGGAAACGTGGATTTGGAATATTCCCAAGGCAAACCAGGGAGTGTGCCACCCCTGGCAGTGCCCATCGCTTCCCTCTGGAATGCTGCACTCCCCAAATCCTCTAAATTCCTTTTTGGGAAGGAATTCCTGGCTGGGAGGGTGGGGAGGGGATGGGCTGGAATTCCCAGAGCAGCTGTGGCTGCCCCTGGATCCCTGGGAGTGTCCAAGGATGGGGCTTGGAGCACCCTGGGATGGTGGAAGGTCCCAAGGGTCACTTCCATTCTGGAATTCCATCATTTCCCTCAGCGAGGTCCTGGAGCACATCCCGGTGTTCCCAGCACTCCCATGGAGTGACTCAGACTCTTGGCCAGGAGATTCCCGTGCTGGAGCAGGAATGGGATGGAGTGGGAAGGGTTGGATTTTCTACTCATGCTCTGGTGACTTCCAAGGTTGGATTTTTGGTGCTTCCCATAAAAACCTGATCCTCTGCTTCCCAAGCTTCTCTTGGAGCATTTATCCCAATTAATTCCCTGAGCATCTCCTCCTTCATTATCCCTGTGGGCTGAGCTGTTCCATGGATCCTGGGGCCTCTGCAGTGTCCTGGAGGGATGAGCTCCTGCAAGCTGGATTTTCTGGGATTGTGGCTTTGGGAATTCCTCTTGAGGCTTCCAGTGAGGAGTCACTCATGGGAATGAGGGTGTCCAATTATAGCCCAAATTAGATGGGAATATCCTGGAATTGTGGCTCATTCCTGACTCCTGAGCTTTCCTGGAGGAGATGAAAAACATGGAAAAACTTCCAGGTGATGTTTGGATTCCTCATTCCCTCAGCTCCATCGTCCATTTATTCCAGAACTGGGATTTGTTCCCTGATTTTAGCACTTCCAGAAATGCTTGGATAACCAAGAATCCTTTTTTTCTCCTGTCTTTCCCTGAAAGAATTTTTCCCATGATTTTGGATCTTCCCTGGGGTTTCCATCCTGAGTGTCCCAGTTTTTTGACCCAAAAGGTCGGACCCAGGTGGGAGTTGGGTTCTTCTCCCAGGGAACAGGGACAGGACAGGAGAGGCTCAGGGAATATTGGGAATATTCCTGATGGAATGGAGAAAGGGAGTCCCCATTCCTGGTGATCCATGGATGTGGCACTTGGGGACACGGATCCACGGTGGCTTTGGCTGGATCAATGAATTTGATCTTGGAGGCTTTTCCAACCTCAACAATTCCATGATTCCATGATTTCAGCTGCCTCTGGCTCCTGATTCCAAGCTCCCTGCTTTTCCTGAGTGCCCACTGGGGCTCCCTGGATTTTTCTCACTGCCCTTCCTGCTTTTCCCAGGGAGATCAAGCTGCGGAATTACGATCCCGAGGATGCAGAGCTGAAAAAGAGGAAGCTGCCCCCGGCCAAACCAGCCTCAGGTGGGAGAAACTGGGAATGTGGGAAGGGAAAAGAGGGCTTGGGATGCTCTGTGCTCTTCCCAAGGTGGGAGATCCATTGGGATGAGGTGTCCATGGAACCTGGAGGGGTTGGAATATCTGGAATACCCTCACACCCAGCATTGCTCAAGAGGGGTGGGAACACTCCCAAGCCCAAATCCAAGGATTCATCCTCGGAGGAGCCTCCCTGCAGGAAATTCTGGCTGGTTTTGGTTGGATTTATCTTGAAGGAAATCTTAGTCTGGAGTTGAGGGCGTTGGGGCTGGAATTTCCTCACCTGGAACTTCCATAAATCACCTGAGGGGGAAGTGAAGGAGTTCCCTGGATCCTGAAATGGGGAATTTTTCTGGAATAAATCCCTTGAAAAATGCCCTGAATAAAAAAGGGAGGGCTGGGAATGCCTGGGAATTCTGGCACTGCCCTTTCCTTGTGTTTTTGTAGGAGCTTAAAACTTCCATGGGAAAGGAAAGTCGTGGAAAGGCTGGAGTGTGTCCAGGGAAGGGAATGGAGCTGGGGAATTCCTGAGGGAGCTGGGAATGTTTTCCTGGAGAAAAGGAGGCTCTGAGAGGACCTTCTGGCTCTGCACAATTCCCTGACAGAAACTGGGGGGGAATCAAGATCTGCTCCCGGGGAACAGGGATGGGAGAGAGGGAATAACCAGGTTGGATATTGGGAAAATTCCACTTGTCCCACAGTGGTGGAGCCCCATTCCCAGAGGGATTGAAATCCCTGTGGATGTGGCACTTGGGGATATGGGCAAGGCTGGGAATGCTTGGACTCAGTCCAAGAGGGCTTTTCCAACTGGAACTGTCCTTGATTCCATGAAATCCATGTGCTGGAGTGGGATGTGCTCCTGGTGCCACAGCCCCTCCATGGGTGGCTTTTTCCATGGGTTTTTTCCCATTTTCCTGGACATCTCCAGACCTTTCCCCAAGGCCTGGGCTGGAGCTTGACTCCTCCAAAGAGGCCTGGAAAGGAGTGAGGGAGAACAAAATTCCCAACTTTTGGAGCAGCTGATCCCTACAGATTGTTGGGAAAAGAGGCCTTGATCCCAACTGGCTTCAATCATTCTGTCATTCCCAGATAATTTTTAGGAATCTCCAGAAGGGTTTGGATGCACTCACGTGTGGGTGCCATGTTTTTAAGTAAAGCTGTGGGAATTGGGTTTTAGGGAATCTTTTGGGAGTTTCTGGAGCTCCCAGTGACTCCCTGGAGCACTGGTGGAATTCCCAGTTTTCCAACACTGATCCTGTTTCCCCATCTAGTGGAGGACACGGTGAAGGAGCAGCTGGAAGCTGCCAAGCCAGAGCCCATCATCGATGAGGTGGTAGGTAAAGGTGGAGCTGGAATTCCTGGGAATCCAGAGCTGAAAATCTGGGTCTGGAAAATCTGGAGCTGGAAATCCAGAGCTGAAAATCTGGCTTGGGAAATCCAGAGCTGGGGATCAGGATCTGGGAATCCAGAGCTGGAAATCTGGGTCTGGGAATCTGGAGCAGGGAATCTGGATTGGGAAATCCAGAACAGAAAAAAACTGCATGTGGGAATCTGGATCTGGGAAATCCAGAGCTGGGAAATCTGGATTGGGAAATGGGGAGCTGGCAATCTGGATCTGAGATTCTTGACCTGGAAGTCTGAGTTGGAAAATCCAGACCAGGAAATCTGGGTTGGGAAATCCGGGTTGGGAAATCCAGAGCTGAAAATCTGGATCTGGGAACCTGGAGCTGCTCCAGGCTGGAATGTTGCCTTTGGCTTTCACTGATGTCTCCTCTCCTTCCCTAGGATTTGGCAAACTTGGCTCCCAGGAAACCTGACTGGTGAGTGCCTGTGGAATGCTGCTCCTGGGAAAAGGGTGTTGGAGTCAGTGAGGGGGGTTCCAACCCCTTGAGGCTGTGCTGGAAATATCCAGGAAAACCTGATCTGAGGGTTAAAAATGCCAGGAAAATCCCATGGGAGGTTGGAATGAGCTGATCTTTAAGGACCTTTCCAACCCTGAGCATTCCATGGGATTGGAAAACCCTCCTGGTTGTGGGGGAAGACACAATTCCCTTTTCCTGCTGATTCTTTGGAATGCTTTGTCACCGAGGGATGGGTTGGTTTTGGGGTGGTGGCACTTGGGAAAGAGAAGGAATTTCCCCTGGGAAGGGTGGGCCCTGCCTGGCTGTGGAATTGTCCTGACCTTGTCACTCTCCTGCCAGGGATTTGAAGAGGGATGTGTCCAAGAAGCTGGAAAAGCTGGAGAAGAGGACCCAGAGAGCCATTGCAGAGCTGATCCGTGCGTTCCAGAGCTGGGGGAATGGGGTGGATGGAGGGAATTTCCTGAGGGAATTTCCAGAGGGAATTTCCAGAGGGAATTTCCAGAGGGAATTTCCAGAGGGATTCCATGATCCATGCTGGGAGCTCACCGGGCCAGGGAAGGATTGGTGGGGCTTGATCCCTTCCCAAATGGATCTGGGAAACTGCTGGTCCCAAGGAGGCTCCAGGAGCAGTGGGATTGTGCCAAGGGAAGGGTTGTGGGCTCCTTCACTGGGTCATTCCCAATCCATCCCTTCCCCGTGGCTTTTCTCCCGGCAGGAGAGCGCTTGAAGGGGCAGGAGGAGGAGCTGGCGTCGGCTGTGGGATCAGCAAAGCAGGAGGGGAGCGACTCTGAGTGAGGAGAATCCATCAGGAACAGGCTCTGGATGTGCCTCACACCCGACCCCGTGTCCCTCAGGTCCCTCCCTGGTCAGGACTGCTCATCCCTTTTCCCAAACTTCCCGAATCCTGCCGTGCCTGGAGGAGAGGCAGATCCAAGGAGCCTGGCTGGCTGCTGAGGAACTTCCATGGAAAACTCGCTGGGATTGTGGGGGGGGGTTGATGGGAGCAGGACAGACCCTCCCAGTCAGCTGGAATTTCCTTGGAGCAGGGAAAAATGGGAAAACTCTGGGCTGGGGCCAGAAGGGTCAATCCAGACTCTCTGGGAAAGGAGGGAGATTCCAACAGCCCTTGGAAAAGCTGGATCATTTCCCAGGATTGGTGTTCCTGTTCTGTGCTCCTTGAGGCTCTGAGTATTTGGGAATATCCGTGGAATATCCCAGAAATCCTGTGGGAAGGGGCTGTGTGGCTTGGGAATTGTTGGCTGCTCTGTACCTGGCTGAGTGCCACGTGGGATTTGCTTTGCTCCTGGAATTTCCCGACCCTCCAGGAGCGTGTCCTGCTCCCCCTCTTGTGGTTTTTTTATTGTTAATGATATTTTCCTAATAAAAATTCCATGTGGGAAAAGTTGTCACTTATCCTGCAGAGGAGTGGGAAGAGGAGCAGTGGGATTGAATCCATGGAAGCTGGAGGAGGAGCAGTGGGATTGAATCCATGGAAGNTGGAGGAGGAGCAGTGGGATTGAATCCATGGAAGTTGGAGGAGGAGCAGTGGGATTGAATCCATGGAAGCTGGAGGTGGCCACAGCAGGTCAAGCACAATTCCTGGGATGGGCTGATCCAGGTTATTGTGTGATCCAGGTTCCTGGGGTGATCCCAACCCTGTTTCTCTGGAAAAGGGGAGCAGGTGGGGTCTCCCAAGCTGATAAGAAGAGCTGATCCTGGTAATTCCCACATCCTGCTGCTTTTTCCCTGGTGGGTCATTCCCTGGATGATGGATCCTTGTCCCTTTGCCAGTCTCTGCTGCTTCCCAGTGCTCTACGCTCCTCCATGAGGGTTTTCCACCTGCAGGAGTCCCATTCCTGCTTCCAGGGGATGCCTGGGAGCAAAGAGCAGCTGGAAATTTCCCTGATTTCTCCTCCATTCCCAGCTTCCTTCCTTCTCCTTGGCTCTCCTGTTCCTGGTGTTTGCAGCCATTCCTGCTGCTCCTCTCCCCTTGGAGGGGCCGTTCCCAGGTGTGTGGGGTGGGCCAGGCTCGGTGTTGGATTCCCTCTGGATTCTCTGGTGGGAAAACACCTGGGCTGGGAGCCCAACCATCTGGACAGGTGGATTTCCCTATTTTTCCTTGGATGGGAAACATCCAAGTGCCCCTGACCCTTGTCCTGGGGCAAAATATTTCTGGAAAAGCAGTGGGAAGTTTCCATCAGGGAATGCTGTGGCTGCCTCTGGATCCATGGATCCATCCAAGGCCAGGTTGGACAGGGCTTGGAGCAGCCTGGGATGGTGGGAGGTGTCCCTGACTATGGAAGTGGGATGGGTGGGGTTATGTTTAAGTTCCCTTGCAACCCAAATTGCTCTGCAATTCCCTGACTCCATGGAATCTCTGGAATGCCCTGTAGATGTCAGCAGATCTCCATGCACAAAATTCTGCCGTGTCCAGCTATTCCCAGCAGCTGGAATCTGGATGAAGCCAGGCTGGGATGCTGCCAGCTGGAATTCTCATCCATCCATCCATCCATCCATCCATCCATCCATCCATCCATCCATCCATCCATCCATCCCTTCCTTCCCTGGCTGAAGCCAGACCAAAGGTGGGAAGCAGAAGAATTTTCCCTCATTGACTTTCAAGGAAGAAAATTCCCTTTAAAGTGGCTCCAGTTCCAGGCACAGCTTTTCCCAATTCCTGAAGGGATAATTTTCACTTTCAGCTCTCCTGGAAAATCCAACTTGGAAATGAAAAATCCCAATGTTTTCGTTTAGGACAAACCTCAAATGAAATCTCCTGAATTTTCCCTTTCATGTGTGTTTTCCACTTTTATTCCAGGACATTAAGCCAGGATCAACCCCAGAGCCCTGGACAGATGCAGGGTCTGGGCATGGGATTGGGATCCAGGTGTGGGATTGGGATCTCAGTGTGGGATCCTGGCATGGGGCAGGGATCCAAGGATGGGAGTGGGATCCTGGTACAGGACACAGATCTTGGAATGGGACTGGGATTTCAGCATGGAACAGGGATCCCAGTGTGGAGCAGGGACTTCAGTGTGGGACAGGGATCATGACAAGGATCCTGGCAGGGGAATGGGGTCCCTGTACAGGAGAAGGATTCTGGCACGGGACAGGAATCCCGATATGGAACTGGGATCCTGATATGGGACTGGGATCCTGGCATGGGACAATGATCCTGGAACAGGACAGGGATCCTGGTGTGGTGCTGAGGTTTGGGTGAGGAACAGGAAAATCAGGGATTCCTTCATCCATAGGAAAATCTGTTTTCCTTGGGCTGATTTGGAGCCCGATGTCGCTGCCTTTTGTTGGGAAAATGTGGACAACTCTGACACGGCCCCAAACTGACACCGGGGTCAAATCCATCCCTCAGGATCCTCCTGGCCATTCCCTCTGGATTATCCCCCACCAACATTCTGGCCTTTTAAAAACCGGGATGTTTCTTTCTCCCCTCCTTGGAAATGCCACCTCCTGCTTCTTTTCATTGGATTCCCTCCCACACTCTCCACGCTCCGGCCTTGCAAGTTCTGACATCCCTCTGTCCCATAAAAACCACGCCCTGGGATGCTCCTGGCCGGGATGAAAGGCACCAGGGTGGGCTGGAATTTGTGACACGAAGCAGGAGCGGCCCTGGAGTGCCGGAGTGCTCGGGATTCTCCAACTTGATGGGATGATGGAGAGGAGGCTTCATCCCGAGCCCTCGGCCCTCCAGGCCGTGGTTTTTGGAGTGGTCACACCCACGGCCAAGGTCTGGCTTTTAAGTGTCCATCTGCTGCAGGGACATGAAAGGAATTCCCAGTTTTTGACAGCTGCTGAAATTCCTTTTGTGGTGTTCTCTGCCCAAGCCCAGCTGCCTCTTCCAGCTCCGGGGGGATTTGGGATCATTGTTGCTTCTGGGAACAAATCCCTCTGCTGGGCTGCTGGCCTGGCTCTACAGGTCCCAGGCTTCCAAAGCAGGTTCCTGGGAATTTTTCCTTTGGAATATCTGAGCAGAGCTGGTGGGAATAGTTTTTTTCCTTAAACATGGATAATGCTTGGCTGTTTCCGAGGGTTCTCTGAGATGTTCTGGGATGGTTGGTGGAGGGGGTTTGGGAACTCTGGGAGACCTGTGGCAATGGCAGGGGGAGAGTGGGGGGATCCCATGGGATGTTTCCTATGGCACAGGACACTCGGATGTGGGAATTGGGAATCCACACATTGGAAATGGCCTTGGAGGGGGTGGGGATGGGCAGCTCTTGGAATTCTTTGGTGCCTTCCAAAGGGATGAGATCCCTTTGAGCTGCCCCCAGCCCTGAGGTCTGGCCAATGACTCCAATGAACTTCCAGTCAGGAAAATGATCCCGGGACTTTGCCATCCTTTTATCCTCCTGCCCCATTTGTTTGTTGTTCAGCTATTCCAGCCAACCTTGCAGGAATTGCCTTTGGAAGTTTTCCCGTGCCTGTTCCAGGAAGAATGGAAAATGTGGGTGTTGGAGCTTGGTGGTGCAGCCTGTGCTGGACACAGCCCATGGGATTTGCTCCAGCACCTGCTCCGAATTCCTGGGAACAGCAATGAGCCCTGGGCAGGGAGGAGAACATTCCTGCTGGGATCAGAGTCTGTCAGAGCCAAAGGGAATTCCTGGATGGAGAGCTGCTCCTGCTGCCCATGTTGCATTTCCCTGGATCCCTGGAAGTGTCCAAGGCCAGGTTGGACAGGGCTTGGAGAAACCTGGGATAGTGGAAGGTGTCCCTGACCATGGAATTGGGATACATGGGATGATCCTTAAGTTCCCTTGGAACCCAAATCGTTCTGGAATTCCCTGATTCCATGGAGCCATGGAATCACGCTTTTCTGCCTCTGGTCACTCCATGGAAGTGCAGAGAAGGTCGTGACTTGGAGCTGGGACAATTGGAGCAGGTTCCTTCTGTCCTCTCCTCTGCTCATCCCAGGTCCATCACTAATGGATGGTGAGTGAGGAACTCGTGTCCCTTTGACATTGCATGGAATCATCCTGGAATGCTTTGGGTGGGAAGGGACCTTAAAGCCCATCCAGAGCCACCCCTGCCATGAACAGGGACAACTCCCACTGTCCCACTGTGCTCCAGCCTGGCCTTGGACATTCCAGGGATCCAGGGGCAGCCACAGCTGCTCTGGGAATTCCATCCCAGCCAGGAATCCCTTCCCAATATCCCATCTAAATCCACTTCTTCCAGCTCAAAGCCATTCCCTGTGTGCTGTCCCTCCAGGCCTTGTCCCCAGTCCCTCTCCAG